CTACTCACGAGCTGCTTCTTATCAATATTATTTAATTGTAACTGTAGGAATCAGGTTCAGCATTGATGTTTTGTTTAAGCGTTAAGAACCTTGTATTTGTGAATGGTTTTTTCTCTTATTTCAATAAAAAAGTATGTCAAGGAACGTTCAGCTAACTCGAATTCCCGAATATGATCCGTACTGCCCAGTTCATGGTAGTCGTCGTCGTTTTGCGAGGCGCAATCTAATGACTATGCAACATTTAATGACGAGTGTTGACCGTGAGGATGCTCCTGAAGACATTTCCTACTTATATAAGTAAGATTTATAAAACGCACATAAAATGAATTTGTCGATAGATAAATTTTAAATATTTAGCCAAGACTTTTTGGCAAAGATAATTCGGAAGAAGAAACGCGAGATGTTAAGTGGAAATGAGAAGATAAAAGTGAACAAAATTATGCATAAAATTCAGGTTAGTAACTCTTTACTCTAACAAATATTCCTTACAATGTGCGCTTTCCTACTTTAGGCCAACCTTCTCATTATCTCTTTGGCATTTCTGTTTCTCTTCTCAGCTTTTAATGGACTCTCGAATCTACAAACAACAGTTAATCACGAGCTTGGAGCAGATAGTCTAGCGTAAGTTTGGATTTTTGACATTAGGCTTTTTTTTAAGACCACTTACACTCATCGCGTTAGTCCAGCGTCTACATAGAGGCTTTAGATCTCCCATTGCCAGAAATTGGAGGGAAACTCAGATTTACAAAAAATACGAAGTTGCAAAGGTTTCATTCTCTCTGACACGCACAGAAACATACCCTAACCCCATAACTTAGCAAAATTCTTTGTTTTGTGACGTTCAGGGTGCTATATGTGTCAATGGCAATTTCTTCGTTATTCGTGCCATCCTATATGATAAATCGGCTTGGATGTAAACTCACTTTAACCACTGCAATGTCTATTTTCGTTTTCTACATGGCTGTGAATATTCGGCCGAGGTAATTCATTCATGTTCCATTATTTATTGTTTATTTATTTATTTTATTATGTCTCCATTTATTCATTCTTCATTGAATCCCTTTGAACTTGTTGCTGAAATAGTAAATAGCTTCATATATTTAGCTATCCTTCTCTTATCCCTGCTTCAATACTTACTGGAGTAGCAGGTAACCCCAACACCATAAGCAAATCTTGAATTAAAGGTTGGGGGTGGAATTTCAGGATCGTGTCTTTGGGGAGCGAAATGTGTTTACATTACAGAAATGGGCATTCGCTATGCCCATCTTAATTTTGAAAGCCAAAATACTGTGATCGTAAGGTTGTACATATTTGCTTGTGAAATTCTTCTCAATAGATTTCGTATTTTAGGTTTTTTGGCTATTTTTTCATGATCGTTCATAGCGGACAAGTATTTGGCAATTTAATATCATCGTTTATAATGACAGCTGCAATCAAAACACCGGTTCCACTTGATGAAGTCTATAGGACGTGAGAAGAAATGGCTTTCTCGGCATTAAAATGACTTTTTCCAATGTGTCGCCTCTCTTCTTAGCTGAAATTCTTACAGTTGTGGACACGCCTTTCCATCCAATCTTTCTGAGCTTACACAAATAGCCGCTCAAAATCTTGAGCGACCGCATCAACGGGTCTATCTCTCAGGTAAGATGATATTTAAAATAAAGTGATTATTGTAAGTCTAATTGAATGAATTTATCGCAACAGTTGAAGTTTAGCAGCTAATCCTTAAATCATTGTTTTTTGTTAAATCACTTTTCCTGAGATTCATGTAGTTCTTTAGTAGTCTCCCGGGTTCGATGGTATATGATACAGGTGTACAAAGTTTATTCCAAGCATTATGCAATTCATAAAAGTATTTACTTAGAAGAACTCCCAAATTTACAACTTTATATTTCTCTAGTTGATCAGCAAATTTGTAATTTATAATGAGCAGATAAGTAGATTTATGTTCGTATTTTAAGTGAGGTTACATTCGTAGCGGAAAACGAGATTTTCCAACTTATGTCAGAAAGTTATTTGAACTTTTAGTTGAAAAAGAAGTTTTGAGAGTTTCGAATTAAAGTTATATGGATAGACACTATAAACAGAGAAGTTTCACATTGTCATAATTGTTATCTGGTCTTAAGGTTTTTATATAGGCCATGTTAATAAAATCATGATTTACAGTGTGCTTAACCTACCTAGCCTGCGCGATCGTTGCCGTCATGATCGTATCAATGTTTCTCAATGCATTGCATAAAGATGTCGTTAATAGGTATGATTCGGATAATTACATAAAAATATAAAACTGCAAACATAAAAAAGAAAAAGTACAGAGATCCTTTACATTTGACCATTGCATGCATTTTCATTTTCTAGATAAGTATGGG